GTAACGTTTTAACTAATGTATAATTATGATATTAGGAAACAAGTTTTACATCACTTAACCATATTGCGGGCAATACCTACCTGCCAACGACGAAGTTGTCAGATCTAGAGGTTGAAAAGAAGTACCCAGTGACTAATGTTAAGCATGTAACTCCAATGTATGATCGTATGATTGTCATTACCATCAACAAAGAGTTTAAGCTCTTTTCACTTGATAGTGTCTTAAAAGCTCTTGTAAATGATAAGAAGTTATTTAATGAACTATGTGAAATGGTTAATAGACTAAGTTTATTCATTAAATATGTAGGTAATGGTAAATTTAAGTTTTTATAGTTGTGTTTAAAAATATTTTTCTTAACGTAATAAATATATTTATAAATAAACTTGTTCATAAAAGTGCATATAAATATTTAATAAACTGATATAAAAGGATACGGAGTGGTAACATGGTGGTTGAACCACACAGATGAGAGCGATGGTCGGGGCTCTCATCCCTTCTCTTTTATTATTATTTATTAAACATCTAATTAATTTATCGAACTTTAATGGGAACCTTCAAATCCTAATCACTTAACATAAACTTTGTCACCACAATTTTTTAAAACTTTTTATATAAGATATACGTCTGAATATAAGTGTTGTGTAACATATTCCATCGACTGTAAATATCTCAGTAGACCGATTTGATATATACTCTTTTTCAAACGCTGGTTTTATTTTATTTACGCATACTTTATCATTTACCTCAAATTTTAGCTTTTTCATAGATTTCTTACCATGTGAGCAAAACTTTTTTAACAAATGGGCTTGGTTATCTAATGTAACGTCTTTTGGTTTTATACCAATTGTTTGATGTTTTTTATTATCCTGATTTTTAATTAAATTATGTTAAAAATCCAACTACTTATAATTAATATTCAGACAAAACCTTACCTACATCTTGTTCTTTAGAGTACGATTAAATCTTTCACATATAGATGCTTCAAGATTACCGTATCTTAAATAGAGATTAATTTTATATTTTTCTAGAAGATCTTTCAAAGGCTTATAATAAATTTCTTTACCCCTATTAGTATGAAAATTCTGAGGTACACGACCTTGATGAAATATAGATTTCATCACAGCAGTGACATAATTACCCGTTTTATGTTTAATTGGTAAAGTCCATGCGTACTTTAAAAACACATCTATTACAGTAAGTATGTATCTATAACTTTTATTTTCTCGGTAATAAGGGATCATGTCAACGAGATTAGCCTGCCATGTTTTCTCGAATCCTCGTATATTATACTTTCGACGTGGATAGTTACGTTGAGCTGGTTTGTGGAGCTCTTCCACTAATTTGCTTTTCATAATCCATCCTCACTTACATCTAATTAGTGAATAAACGGTCTTAAATATTTTATTTATTATTATATGTAGTATAAAGGAGGGGACAACATCTTTTTTTAGAATGAGTCTTCTGGAGTAATATGAGAGATCTAAGAAAACACCTCTTTAATGGTATTCATTTCTTTTTCCAAGTTTACTATTTTTTCCATAAATAAGTCTTTTAAATGATTTAACATTATATTCATTTAATGCAGCTCATCCTTAACAACTTTGTTTTCTCTATTTAAAGAACTTATATTTATAGCATCATTAGGCTTGATAGCTGTTGCTATATTGCGCAATATTTTGTTTTCTAAATCATACTGTCCATCTGCAGATACTTTTTTTCTAATACCAGGAGGACCTTGGCTGCTACATTCAGTCATACTCAGCTTACGTCTGAATACGTCAACGCTCATGTTGATACTTACTTGAATGTACACATGCTTAAGTATATTTATCCTGACTCTCGTAACTTTTCAATGATTAATATTATCTCATTATTATGGCTGTAGATCCCTGCTGATCTTTCAGCTATGAGTAATCTAAGGTGGCCAACTAACTCATTCGGGTCATCCCAGTACACATAATCTACTTGTTGAAGTATGTTATTCATTGTTTGAGCTATTTTATAGTGAGGTAACAATGATCCTCCCCCCCCTTTTATTCAATAATATGAACCATTGGATCAATGATTTCATTAAATTTCTTACTATTATGCAGTCTGATGGTTCCATTTTTGCTATATCCCTTTCTATGTGCATCACCTGTAGTAATGCAAGATGTATCAGGATTTTTTTTTACAAGTTGCTCCATTAATCTTATGGTTATTGTAAATGATAACTTGTCAATTCTGATTCGATTACTCTCAAAATGTATAGGTGAGTCACCGAGGATGTACACTTTACTTTCTTTTCAAAGCCCATACACTAAATCTAACAAATCTTTTTGATTTTGATCAACTACCTGTAAATATGTGTTATCAGATGCATTCTCCTCAAGTTTACCATGATGAATCTGAATTTAAATGGTATTATTCATTTCATTATCATTATCGCTTTGACTTACAGCAGTCTCAAAAATTGCGTTATTATCACTGTACTTCACTTTTTTAGTTTTTTTTACGGATAGGTTATTATTTGTGTATGATTTTTCAAAATACTTATGTATCCCTAAATGGTTCCTTTCTTTTCGTTTAAGTAACAATTTTTATTTGAGGATCTGTGATTGGCTTAAAAGTTTCATTGAGTACTCTTTCAACCTTATCTTTTCCAAATTTTAATAATCCATACTTTTTCTAACTGCTTCTCTTGCTTTCACTAGTTGGCTGAGAATGTCTTTTCCTTGCTTATACATGTTGAAGTTGTAACGTCTTATAGTAGACTAAATAAAGTCTGCTACGTACGTGTTATGTTTATAGCTGTAACAAAGCATTATCTTTTTTTTTTTTAAATCTTCTTAAAAAATTATAATACTTTTTACCATTATTTTTGCATTAAATATCTTAAGATACAAACAACCATAGAAAAATTTCTTAATTGATGTGGCAGCATAACGTTACATGCTTCTTTAAAAATATTATGAATTTCGAAGTCATGTTCCCCTAAGTATTACGCAAAAGCAACATCTTTAAATATGTTGTAAAGTATTTTGTCTACTGTTCTTAAGGTTTCAAAAGATTCTGCTTCATTATTTTAATATTAAAATAGTTTGGATAAGAAATTCTTTAAGTTCTTGGGAGACAATACGTAAAATAAACCGATTGTTATATTATTTCAAATTTTTTTCTGATAAATACCCTACGAAAATAAGGAATTCTTACATTTTTAAGGGAATAAATATTGCTTACAGCTCCATTAAAAGTTCTTATTTTATTAATTTTTTTAAGCCTCTTTTAGCATATGTCTTCCAACTGCTTTTACGTTTTAATTATTTGTATGTATTTATATAGGTACAGTATACAGAATATTCTTAAAGCACGATATAATTTTGCTTTTTTTGCTGGGTTAAGAACTTTGCCCTGTTTTTGTAAAAAAGAAGTATACTACTCGATATATTGCATATTTTTAACACACCTTAGAGTACAAGGAAAAAATAATCATGCAAACTATCATCAGAAACTCAAAAATTCTTACATATTGTTTCATTACGAGACAGAGTTGAAGCGGAACCTCATTCTGAATTCCAGAGTCACACGCACTCTATTTTTCCCTCAATCCTTGCACGTACCTGCACCCGTCGTTGATCGTTGATTGGCTCATGTCCCGTTGGCATGCTGGTAAGAGGGGTGGGGCATAACATCTGCACTTTGCTAAACATACATCACTCTCTTCCTCTGACTCATTCTTGCACTAACTTCAACTTTATTCACCTCACGTCCACGAACATCCTACTATCTATGTATTATTAAGTGTAGATACTCCAGATAGGGTCAGTACACTATAATATAAGAAAAAAATCGATATATAACTTGTTCAACGAACTCTTATCATCATCATCAGCCTCGCATCTTCGTCCGCACATCCACCAGTATCTTGAGTTTGGATTCTTTTCACCCATTCGCCCTCAACCACATCACTACATACCGACCACACGTCTATTACAGCTTACTTAGTACATATCGGCACCCCGTTATCAGCACACGCATCTCGTCCACTTCTCCCCGTTTCTTTCTCCAGAATCATGATCCCTACCTGATTACACAATTCACAATAATCATCAAGACTGAGCTACCGCAAGCGGTAGTTGATTTCGTCTTTCAGGGGTCACGCGTCGGCCCGCTTTCACCAGCCTTATGCTAACTCGTGCGACCGTGCAGGGCCCGCTGGTTTGCAGAGGAAATCTCTCATCCACTGTTCACCTCCAATTCATCCACACTGACACAACTAACACGCTAATTATGATCTTCCCTATTAAAATTGTAATTTGTGTGATTTTGTTCGTCAATTGTACTCACTCCAATGTCTTAATAAATCTGGGCTTTTTATGCCACCAGCTTTTTTTCATGAGCTTATTAATAAACTGTTGTGCCCCTTAATTTTTTGCTTATTTCATATTTTTAGTAATAACAAAATTTATTAACATAATTTATCAAGTTTGTCTATCTAGTAAGTCCATTTTTTCTTCATTTGTTGGAGAATTTTTGCTGATAGTTTTGACCTTATTTTTCTCAGTTTATTTTATTTTTACTGACTATTATTTTCTTTTGAATTTTAAAAATAAACCTCCATCTACAGTAGTGAGCCCGTTTTATTTCCATTAATTGTTTTTTTTTATGTGGATCAAACAATCCCTGTTTGATAGACTGTGTATTTACGCATCACATATAGCAGCAGTTAAAAAACCTTTTTTGAACTTGTTAGAGATTAAAAAATTTAATTTTGTTAGCAAAATACTCTATTAGATATGGTTTACAAGAGGGTTAATTACAGCGTGCGAGGCGTCGTGAGTATGAGCAGGACAGGCATCCGGTTGTCTCGGAGAGCAGTGCTCAAGTGCCCGAACGCAGAGGTGGCTCCCGGCAAGGCGGAAGCCCGTGAGCATGGCGGAAGTGCACGCAGCGCCTCACTCGGCTGTCGCGCTCGGGCGCGAAACCAAACAATCCGCCCGCCTCGATTCTGGATCGAAGAACTACGTGCTGCCCGCCAAACCGGGGTCGGTCGGGGAGTCTTCTGGAGGCGGCCGAGCCGCGGGAGGTGCCGACACAGGCAGCAAGACCATCTTGGTGATAAATCGCTCGTACACGCCAGTCGCCGTCTTGAGGGTGGCAGCGTGGACAAAGCCGTTGGCTCCCGGGTGGACGCTGATGACACGGCCGATCGGCCATCGGCCGCTGGACTGCAGAAGTGCAGCGTCAAGGAGGACGACCACATCGCCGACGATGAAGTTCCGGCGAGGAGTAGTCCATTTTGACCGCTGTTGGAGTGTGTTGAGATATTCTCGGCTCCAGCGGGACCAAAACTGGGCGCGGACCCCCCGAACGAGCTCCCAGTAGGCGAGCGCATCCAAGCTCTCTGCAGGGGGGCCGGGCAGAACGATGGAGTTGAGAGGGCCACCGACGAAGAAATGCCCTGGGGTGAGAATATCAAGGTCTCCAGTGTCTCCAGATAGCGGTGTCAGTGGTCGGCTATTTAAGACCATCTCGATGCCAACGAGCACCGTGGAAAATTCCTCGTAGGTGAGATGGCGTGACCCCATGACGTGCCGGAGGTGACTTTTAATTGACTTGACAGCAGCCTTCCACAAGCCACCGAAGTGAGGAGCGCCCAGTGGAATGAACTTCCAAACAATTCCTTGATCGGCGAGAGAGCCCGTGACCAATCCCCAGTCCAGCTCGGCTGTCAGCAAGGCATCGCGCAGCTCGACATCAGTGCGGCGAAAGCGAGTCGCGTTATCGCTCCATATCTCGCCGAGCCGACCGCGGCGTCCAGCAAATCGGTGGAGGGCGCCCAAGAAGGACGCAGCTGAGAGATCGCCGACCAGCTCCAGGTGCAGGGCCTTGGTGGCAAGGCACACAAAAACGGCGATGTAGCCTTTCGTGGTCCAGACTCCTCGTCCTCTAGTGGAGAGTACATGAAAAGGGCCGGCGTAGTCCACTCCAGTGCAGGCAAAGGCACGAGAAGGGGAGACTTGGGACGACGGCAGTGGGGCCATGAGTTGAGTCGCCGGTCGCGCTTGCAGCCGGATGCAGACGACGCACCTGTGGAGGTGAGCCTTGATCCGCTGGGGCCCACCGAGGAGCCAAGCGCGCTTACAGACGTAGGCACTGGTGACGCAGTATCCACCGTGCAGCGCCCGAGAGTGCACCCAGGCGATGACCATGGAAGCGAGGGAAGAGGCGCCGCTGAGGATCGGTGGGTGCCGCTCCTCGTAGGTCAGTGGCGCATGCTCGAGCCGCCCGCCGACGCGCAGAATCCCGTCGTCATCGAGGAAGGCTGCTAACGGTACCAAGAGGTTCGTCTTCCGCAGACGTTTGCCCCGTCGAAAACACTGGAGCTCGGCCGAGAATGATCTCTTCTGGCTAAGGCGTACACACGCGAGAAAAGCATCGTGGAATTTGGTCGGCGTAAGAGGTAAAGCGACCCAAAGCATGGGCCCCTGCCCAAGCGGCTCCGGATGAATCGATGAATGCATACGAGGAAGCTTAGTAGCATGCGGAAGTTGGAGAATTGCTCAAGGTAGCTGGCGTCGAGCTGCTGCACTACGCAGCAGATAAATGAATGCTGGTTCGATGTGGGAAGCGGGTCTAGGGGCCACGAGTCGACGTCCTCGGCAAGCCAAGCGGGGCCCTCCCACCAAGTGCGCTGCGAGCGATGGCCGGTCATGTCAGCACCTCTGATCGCGAGGTCGGCTGGATTTGACTGGGTCGGCACGTATCGCCAGACGCTCGAAGGCAGGATTTCCTGGATTTGGGCGACATAGTTATCAATCAGCACGTTGTTGGTTGGCCAGTCTCAACGCAGCCAGTGCAGAATGATCTGCGAGTCGCACCATGCGTGACAGCGGTCGACAGGTACGCGTAGCTTGTCGGCAGCAGCCCGCAGGAGCTTGGTAGCAATCAGTGCGGTGCGGAGCTCGAGGCGCGGAATCGTCATGCACGCGGTTGTCTTTGGCGCCTGCTTAAGCGAGCAAATCGGCGAGAGCTTCGTCCGAGCCAGAAGAATGTGGCAGAGCGCTGGCCCAGCCCCGGGCGCGAGGCGAGAGTAGATGACGGCTGCCATCGCGCGGCGACTGGCGTCCGAAAAGCCGTGCAGGTAAAGCTTGGAAGAAGGCCCGAATCCAATCCAGTGCGGCAAGGTGAAGGTGGATATGGCCTGGAGCTTGGCGGTAAATGCCGCCCATTGGCGAGTCATTGAGATTGGCGCAGGCTCGTCCCAGCCCAGTCTAGCGCGCCAGAGATCCTGGAGCAAGAGCTTGGCATTAAACACGATCGGCGCGAGCCAGCCGCATGGGTCAAACAGACCCGCGAGCGCCGCGAGCATCGTCCGCTTTGTGCTCTGCGGCTGAAGTGGTGGAGGCCAACTGAAAGCAGTCCGACGGTGGATCCCACTTGACCCCGAGCTCGCTGATGAGGCCCTTAGTGCTGATCTGCTCCCAGGTTGGACGTAAGCGGACGTCCTCAGGCAGATCGTCGAGCAGCTCGCGGAAATTGGCCACCCACTTCCACAGGGGAAAGCCGCCGGCCTTCATGAGCCCGTTCAGCTGGTCGCGGAGGCGCCGAGCCGCGGTGACGTCGTTGGCCCCGGAGATAAAGTCGTCGGCATAGCGGTCACACAGGGCGGCTGACATAGCTTCGGGCCAGTTGTGGCCTTCGTCCTGGCATAGCTGTTGGAGGGTACGCAGTGACAAGTAAGGCGAGCACGACTCGCCGTAAGTCACAGTGAGCAGCTGGTAGTGGGTTGGAGGCTGGTTGGGATCGGCAGCCCAGACAATCCTCTGCAGGTTGACATCACGGTAGTCGATCCAAATCTGCCGCAACATCATGTGGATGTCACTGCAGAAGGCGATGCGGTGCCGCCGCCAGCGCATGAGCACCGATGGGAGCACGGCTTGGAGTCTGGGTCCAGCGTGGAGGACGTCGTTCAAGCTGTGGACACTGGAAGTCGGGTTGGACGCGTTGAAGACTACTCGGAGCTTGCACCCGCGATCAGCATGCTGCCAGATGCCATGATGATGGATGTAGTTGACGGGCCCAGCTGTAGCTGCAAGCTCAGCGCTGGTGAGCGGGCGCATGTGGCCCATCGCGACATAGTCAGCCATGAATCGACTGTACTCTACAGCCATGTCGGGGCTTCGCCGAAGCCGGCGTTGCAGGACTGCCAAGGAGGCCTTGGGGCTCTGAAGACTGTCACCAAGAAGAAGCGAACCGCTGCCTTTCAGCGGGAGGCGCACGATGTACCGTCCGACCGCGGCGCGTCGGTGGTCTGCGAACGCACGCTCACACTCGATGTCCTCATCTGAGCGGCGGTGAGCCTGAGGAAGATCCTCCATCTCCCAGAACCGCTGTAGCAGAGCGGTTAGCTCGTTGTGCCAAGGTGGAGCCACGTCGGATTGGGCGGCTGCACAGATGGCCGACGTACTTGGAGCGAGCCCGACGGCACGGCCTGCCAATACCCAGTTGAAGACTGTGCGCTGCCCGACAATTTCTCCTCGTTGAGTGTAGCCGGATCGTAGCAGCAAGTGGTAGAAGTCGGCACGGATGAGGAGGTCGCCTTCGGGTGCAGCAGGGTGGAGGGGGATACCAGGCCAAGCCTGGGAAAACACAGCGCTGTCAGCGCGACTGGTGGTGCGGGCCCTGGAAGCTCGAGGCGGAGATGGACCCGGACTCTGGACCGGACGGCGGACTCGTCACCAACACTGGAGATGCTGGCTTCGATGGCTTCTAGTCGTGCGCCGACCAGGTGCGCGGAAGTCGCAGAGATGACGGTGACCTCGGAGCACGCGTCGATCAGCGCTCGGGCTGGAACTCGACGACCAGGAGGACTGCTCAGATGGACGAGGGCGGTTGGAAGCACGGCTAGTCACGCTTGACGTGACGCGTCAGCTGAGTACTCTCCCGATGAAGAGGTGGGCGGGTCCGTGCGGGGCTGCTTCGATGATGTAGAGCCGTCAGGCTGCCTGAGTGGCGGTGACGGGCGCCGTCGTGCAGTGAGCTGTGATGCTGCTGTCGGCAATATTGGCAAGCCGACCGGGAGGGGCAGTACTCCACAGCGTGCCCGGGTCGGAGGCAATTGAAGCACAGCCGTGCCTGGTAGACGAGCTCCCTCTGTGCGCGTACATCAAGCCCCTGGAACTGAAAACAACGCCCGGGATAATGGCCCTCGTGGCACGCCAGGCATGACGGCGTATCGTTGCTCATGGCGAGGGCGTGGTAATTGCGTCCTGATGTCGAGGAGTTCGAGCGTATGGCTGTCCCGCTGAAGGGACACGCGGGCTGCGACAACGGCGCCGAAGAAAGTCGGTCAAGGTGGCGAATGTGGCGACGTCATTCTCGGAGCCAGAAATAGTACTCTCCAACCATTGAAGCTCCTCCTCCCATGCACGCCTCGTCGCTGGATCCATGCCCGTCATTCCACACGAGACAAACTAATCGTCCCAGCCGGCTACGGGACGACCTAAGGTGCGAAGCTGGTCGCGATGTTTCTCCAGGGTGTCCAAGAGGCTCTGCAACCCGCGGGCGGACTCGTCTCTGAGTGGCTTGATGTTTCGCAGGGCTGTGACATGGTCGTGGACGGGAAGGCGGCTGTGCTTGTAGCGTGCTTCAAGCAGAGCCCATGTCGTAGAGTAATTGGCCTCGGCTACCTAGACCGTATCGAGGGCCGTCTTAGCGTCTCCCTGAGCGAGCGACTTCAAGTAGAACAGGCGCTCGACGTTGGTGAGTTGGCAGTCCTCGTGGATTAGCGCTCGGAAGAGATCACGGAAGCTCTCCCAGTCTTCTCGTCTCCCGGAGAAGTTCAGAATGCTGATTCTTGGCAAGCAAGGCCCACGGCCCGAAACCGAGTTCCCTGGGCCCGGAGATGGCCCTGGAGGGACAGGTGCCGGCGCCAGGGAGTCTCTCGCGTGGTAGAGGCAAGACCGTGCGTCGAGGTAGTGCGCTTTTACGTCAGTGTACAGCTGGACCAACCGAGACGCCTTTTCCGGTGGCGGAGCTTCGATGAGCTTGAGATGGTTGGCTTGAAAATAGCCCCAATATCCGCCAAGCAATTCCAACCTCGCTTCTACCATGCCCGAGCTCCAGCGGGCTGGTTCCATCTCATGAATGGTGCAAACCAGGTGGCGAACAACCTCGGCGAGAACCGACTGAGCACCGAACAGCGCGGTCCAGCCTTCGTCCATTCTAAAACGTTAGTATTCGACGCTTGAGCAGAATATGCCACCGAGCCACAGCTGGTGGTGTTAGGGGGGTTGACAATTCGAGTTGAATCGGCGGGCGATGCGCTTGAGCGGACAAAATGGCTGCCACGGCCAACAAGGAGGCCGTCGGCGGATCATTGCAACAATGGTGGCTTGAAGAAGCCCACGTCTATACCACTCGTTAACTTTGGCCGTCAGCGACACAGCCTGCTTGCCGCCGTGGCTGGGCCAAATGACTGGACCGCGAGCTCTGTCAGCCGCGGCAGTCCCTCAAAACATTTCACGCGTGCAGGGCGACATGGCTTCAACATTGCTATGGCCGAACGACTTGTGCCGGGCCGCGGGCACTATGGCAACCGCGGCGGCCATGTTCGTGGTTCGTTTGTCACTTATACTTGCATTGCTTTGAATAATGTGGAACCACCGGCTGTCCTCTGGGCTGCTGGTCGCTGGTTATCTCCGTGGAATCCGGCTCTCAAAGGACAAATGTTTAGTAAAATACTTTATTAGATATGGTTTACAAGAGGGTTAATTACAGCGTGCGAGGCGTCGTGAGTGTGAGCGGGACAGGCGTCCGGTCGTCTTGGAGAGCAGTGCTCAAGTGCCCGAACGCAGAGGCAGCTCCCGGCAAGGCGGAAGCCCGTGAGCATGGCGGAAGTGCACGCAGCGCCTCACTCGGCTGTCGCGCTCGGGCGCGAAACCAAACAAT